GGCCACTGCACTTCAGTCTGGGCAACAGAGTGAGACTCCAACTCAAAAAAAAAAAAAATTACTTGCAAAACCCATTTTATACACACAAATGTCCACTGAAGCACTGTTAATGATAGCAAATAACCAGAAATAATCTATCACAGTAGGAGACTGGCTAAATATATTATGGAACATTCATAAAATCAAATATTTGATCTAAATGATGTGAATTGTGGTGACTGTACTAAAGCCGAATTACATCAAGTACATTAGTTTGGGGAAAAAGTGCAAACATATGCCAGTGTGTACAGTAATGCTTCTTTTTAAAAAAATTAATATGTAGATATATGCTGATACGTATATTTTCTGGAAGAAAACACAAGAAACCAGTAACTGCACAGAAGGTAGGAGGCATTCATTTTCTTCCTATACCGTTGCATTTTATATTCACTTTCAAGGTCAACAGGATGGTTGATTTATTGTATAACTTTTATAAAATCTTTTCATTATTAAAAAATGAATTTTAAAACGCTAAAGTTAAAAAAAACTTCTATCCACCTTATCTGTCGCAGAGATCGCATGACCTGACATTCCCAAGTTTCAGAGAAGGCCCAGGTTAGCACCCATCAGGGCTGATTCAGGGTCCCCTTCTCTGTCAGACACCAAATCACAGTGATCTGCACCTTCAAACACCTTCTTCTCTTTCTTTTGGGTGCATCAGATGGCACGAAACAGTGACCTCTGGTCTGACCATCTCTTTGGTACAGACTCTCTACCGACAACACATCAGAATGATTGGATATGCAGGCTCTGTCCCAGGCATTGTCATGGGTCTACATGGGGGAAGGTTTTCAACTAGCTTCTTTAAAATATCATTCTCAGGTCGAAAAGGACCATGTGTAAGAAGCAGCGGTGCTTTGGGGCATAAAGACTTGGTCTGAAGTTTTATGATTTTGAGAAACCTCAAGTTTGAATGGTTTCCCCTGCTATGGTTTAAAGGCACATGTAGCAGCATGGACCCTCTGTGTGGTCTTTGATACGAGCCCTGATCATTACTGCTGGCAGGGAAAGGGGCTCCTTGCTCTGAAAGACCGTGTCTTGACTTCGTACATTTTTGAAACCTGTATTTATGAAAACCATACCCAACAGAACAACACGTCTGGAGGCCCAGTTCGTTCACTCAAGGTTTTTATTTTTATTCAACTATAAGCAAACAGAAGAATTAACACAACTTTCAACAAATTCCAGACTGGTTTTTCTTACTCCAGGAAAGAGTGATCAAATTTAAGGATTCCTGCTGTGGGTCTAAATGGCCACGCCTTAACAACAGAAAGTCACTCTCCCTATTCTTTTTCCAGGATTTCTCTTTAAAGGAGCTGAAGCAGGGCACTGATGCCAATGAAGCCATCTGAAATGTCACACTGAGGTTTAGCCATGATGCCAGCCTCTGGTTGACTAGGTGTGACAACCGTAAAGACACGTCTCAGAAGATGCTGTTGCATACAATTCTGGACTGAGATCACAAAGGCAGGGGCAACCGATTCTTCTCTCTCCCTTAAAGATTCTTTGATGCTTTGCTCTATTACTGTAGACCTGGTCATTTTGCCTAAATCTTTTCTTCTTTAAATTCCAGGTTGCTATTCTTCTACTAACCATTTGATGAGCCCATCATGGTACCAGAACATTCCCCAAAATAGAGTTCAAATTTGATCCGAACATAAACTGGGTGCGTGGCTATCTGGCATTATAAAGGACAAGCAAAGGAAAAGTCATCCTAAGCCACTATCTGACTGCTCAAGTCTTGCCTGAGCAGAGGGAGCGGGAAAGAGGAGAAATCTACATGCAACACTGAACTGGAGAACACTACTTGGGGCTCCGGGGCAGATGACGCCTCCGAGCGCCCCCCTACTTCCCAGACAGCTGCTCGTAGAGTTTGGGCACATAGTCATCCCATTCAGCCTGGTAACACGTACCAGCCACTGGGGGCCCAAGCTCATACTTTTTACGGAAAGATGCCACCTTGAATTTGCCACGGTGGTCTCCAGATCGGTTGCTGAGAATGGGCTCATCACACTTCAGCGGCCTGTTCTGCTCGTAAACCAGCCAGACGTAGCGGTGGAGGCCTGGAGGGAGAGGCAGGAAGGAGGATGTTCACATGGTCAGGCAGCTGGGAGGGAGACATCAGCCACTTTCACCAAACGTTTCGACATGTGGGGACCCAGTCCACCCCACTTATAAGGAGGAAACCAAGACAGGGAGAATGAGCCAGGTCACTCACCTGCTGAAAACCACCCGACAGCTCCCAACTGCAATTGCCATCAAGTCCAAACCCTTTGTTCCAGCCTCCACTGACCCGCAGGATCTGGCCTCCCTGCCCACCCCTCTGGCCCCACCTCCCCCCACTCTCAGCTCCTCATTCCCCCCACTCCTGGCTCCCAGCCTATCTCAAGTCGCTGCCCACCATTCCTGTCAGGATGCTATTTCACTTCTGTCAGCTGTGAGAAACAGATGAAGAACACTGCAACGCATCGCAGGTGCCCATCCCACCACAACCAAGCCCGCACAGGCTAATGGACATTATCTTTCTACTTCCAAAACTCACTTCCTTAGAAAACTAGAGACCTGCTTTGAAATGACCAAAACTCACTTCAACCCACTAAGGAGCAAAAAGTGTTTTAAAACCAGTCAGCATGCCACTGCACTTCAGCCTGGGCAACAGAGTAAGACTCTATGTCAAAAAACAAACAAACAAACAAACAAACAAATAAAAGACACAATCATCAGATGCCCTGAGTTTTCATTTTTGAAAAAAGTTAGTTTTTTAAAGTTGTTTAAATATTTGTACGCCCATGCTCACTGCAGCGCTACTCACAATAGCCACGTGGAAGCAACCCAAATGTCCCCTGATGGATGAATGGATACACAGAATGTGGTTTATACATACAATAGAGTATTATTCCAGTCTTAGAAAGGACATTTTATCACATGCTACAACATGCACGAATCTGGAGGACATTGTGTTAAATAAGATAAGCCAGCCACAAGAAGGCAAATACGGCACAATTCCATGAGGCATCTAAAGCAGGCAAACTCACTGAAAAGGTGCTGCTGGGGGCTGGGGGGACAGGGAGATAGGGAGTTGCCATTCAGTAGGGAGAGTTTGAGAAGATGCAAAAGTTGTAGCGATCTGTTTCACAAAGGTATGGATGGAGTTAACATAGTTCTACTACACATATGAAAGTGGTTAAGATGGTAAATTTTATGTTATGTTTTTATCGCACTTAAAAAGTTATTTAAAAAGCGAGTTATCACAAAATAAGCAGGAATGGTCAAAAAGGACATAAGAGGCTCAATATCATGAGTCACCAGGGTGGACAATAAAATCGCAAAATGGTACACACTGGAATGTCTAAAATTAAAGACTGATAATACCTAATCATGGCACAGAGTCACCCGGATCTTACACAAATCTGAAATTTCCATGTGCTGTTGTAAAAGTATAAAGTTTCCAACCACTTTGGAGAACTCTTGGGCAATTTCTGTGACGCGACAATTCTACACCTAGGCATTCACCCAAGAGAAATGGGGAAACACCTACCCGCAAAATGCCCAGCATGTATACAGCAGCTTTATTCCTGACATCCAAATACTGGAAACATCAACAGGAAAGTGGCTAAACAAACTGTAGCCTATCCACACAAAGGAATACTACTTAACAACAAAAAGGGGTAATACAGAGACAAGCAACCTGGGGCTGAATCTCACAGACCTCATCTTAAATGAAAAAGACCAGTCACCAAAATAAAAAGAAATACTGCATACCGTTTATATTAACACAAGAATAGCAAATTTCATTTAGAGAGACAGGAGTCAGAAAATGGTTGACACTGGGGAAATGTAAGTAAAAAGATCAAAAAGAACTCTTCCAGAGTGATGGAAATGACAGGTGCTTACATGGGTATACGCATTGACCAGACTCATCAACTGAAACCTCATGATCTGCATGCACATTTTGTTATATTTAAGTAACACCTGAGTAAAAGACAGTGGAAAAAGGCAAACAAAAAAAAAGTTACTGAGGCTTTTAAAAAATAAGAACACAGCACCTACTAGAGGGAAATGCTTTATTCTCATGTGTATACTTCCGATAATTAAACGGCCTAATTTCAAAACTGCCCTGGAGAACTTAACAGATCCCTGAGAAGTGTTCCTTTACCTTCCTACTGTGAAGGCATGAGATGGCTTGAAGTCATCTGAAGCTTCTGGATCTACAAATACAATGTAAGCCCATGACCAATAGTCCTTGTCAAGGGCTTTCTTGTACCTACTCAGTTCATGTTCACTCATGGCTGAACAAGGTTTATAAAAGCTGGTGTTCTGCCATGCTCCATCTACCACCTCCTTCTTGCTCCAGCAAATGGAAACATCCTGTGATTCACGACAGGTGACGATGAAGCATTTTCCACCGTCACCATAGGCAGCAATTATCCAAATCAGAGTTTCTCTTTACACATCTACATATATTTTATATATGTTATGCCACATGGGATTCAACACAATACAATGTGTCTCTTTAATATAGTCCTTCAAATCTTTTCAAGATACCAAGCTAGATTTTTTGAGAAAGAGGGAACTATGAATGGCTACAGAAAGCAATATGTTGTAATTAATTTGGAAACCAGGATCATTTCTGAAACTACAGAAATTAGACACTCAAAGATCACACCAGGTAAAGGCTGTGTACAGATCTGCGATGGGTTAGCTGTGGTCCACCTAAATATGGCCCCCCAGAAGCCATTCTAAGCTTTCCACAACATTGCTTCCTTCTCATTCACTTCCCCAAGGGCCAAGAGGCAATTCTACAGTGTCCATCTGTCTAGCCCCCAGGTTGTAGCCACCTGACTCTCAGGCAGGTCTCTGCATGTCCTCTGGAAGGGAACTGCTCCAGAGGTGAGCTGAGCTGCTTTCTGGCTCCCGCAAGGTAAGAGCTCTCACAAGTAAAAGAAACAAGCTTTGGGCCAATCCTACTATGCACCAGGCTCCCTCCCACCTCCACTGAAAAAAACTTTTACTGACCTGTGCCCTTGGGGGGCCCCGAGCCCACGTAGTCGGAGAGGACTGTGCCACTGCTGATGTCATTGCCCTTCATGTTGACCACCAGAAAATGATGCCATTCTCTGCGTGGAGAAAGACAGGAGACGTCAGCACCACAGGAGACTAGTGCACATTCACTGCACAGCCAGCAATGTGCATCAAGCACATGCTCAGTGCCATGATACAGTCACTAGCAAGACAGACGGCCCCTGTGTTCTTGGCCAGCATAAACCTCCTGTGTCTGCAGAAGAGCAGACCCAGCTCCTCCCTCCCTGAAATTTTCTAGGGCGGGGATCAGGAAACTTCTTCTGTAAAAGGCCAGAGAGTAAAGGTTTCAGGCCTTGCAAGCCAGACTGTGTCTTCTGCAACCACTCAACTCTGCCGTGGCAGCATGAAAGCAGTTACAGACAAGACATTAGTAAGTGATCATGACGTTGTTCCAATAAAGCTTTGTGATTCAACCCAATGGGAGGAAAAAACTTTACTTAGGAACACTAAAATTTAAATTTCATGTCATTTTCATGTGTCATAAGGTACTATTCTTCTTTCATTTTTTTCCCCAATCATTTAAAAATGTAAAAACCTTTCTTAGCTCCTGGGACCAAACAAAAAAAAGCCCACAGATGGATCTCATTCTTGGTTGCAGTTTACATACTCCTGCTCCAGAGAACAAAAGGGCAGGAATGCACTCTCTGGCTTAACCATGGACAGGGACAATACCAGGTCTACTTCTCCGTGGCCAGCAAGGGCCTCACCCCAACTAAGCCATTTTGCATGAGTCCTCTTCCCCCGACTCGCCTGTATTTGGGGTCCTTCCTGCTGGGAGCATCTGGGTCTGTCAGAACCAAGGTGTAGAGTTTACCTGGATCTAGACCATCCCATGAAACGTTGGTGGGTCTGTCCTTAACCTGTACCAATGAACCAGTTTGGAATAAAAAGTCAGAAACACTGAAGACATCAACAATTTTTTTGATCTCAGACTCTTCAAAGGTAAAACAGAATAATTAATAAACGTTACCCTGTATTGACTCCACGAAGAGCCAGAAACTGAAGCTTTATGTGTATATTATTTATTCTAGTCCCAACAACAGTGTGGGGCTAATATCCAAGCATGTTATCAACAGAAATAGGTGGGGTGAAGATTCCAACTGGCATGAGTCCTACTCCCAACCAAAACCTCACTCTGTCTGTCTAGAATGACAGGGTCTCTGGATTTGGTGACCAGGAGGTTACCTGGGATTGCTAAAGTGGAATCTTCATTCACTGAACATTTGAAAGATGCGCAGTAAGTTGGCGCGGTGGCTCACGCCTGTAATTCAGCACTTTGGGAGGCAGAAGGGAGAGTTCAGGGGGTGGAGTTCAGGGGGTGGAGACTAGCCTGAGCAACATGGTGAGACCTCGTCTCTACAATAAATCAAAAAACTAGCCAGGCGTGGTGTCGCAGGCATGTAGTTCCTGCTACTTGGAAGGCTGAGACTGAAGGATCACCTGAGCCCAGCAGGTCGAGGCTGGGGTGACCCGGGAGCTGACCCGGAAGCGTGCCAATGCACTCCAGCCTGGGTGGCAGAGTGAGACTCCGACTCAAAAAATTAAAAATAAAATAAAAGTTGCACAGAAAACGAAGAAAGCCCACGTGGTGGGCAGTCTGTGTCGGCCTCCAACAAGGGCATCTCATATTTAAACATCCAAGACAAAGAACCATCAGGGCAGTCTATCCACACCGCTGCCCTGAGCTGCAAAACCAACCACCAGCAGGGGTGTCGGAAATCTCGTGTCTCCACTTTTAGCGGCCAAAGGCGGTGGAGGCCTGCAGAAGCCGAACCGCAAAACAAAGCCGTTGCCCCTGGGCCCTCCGGCTGCGGAACGCACTCTCTCTCTCGCCTTTGGGCGGCTGCACGCTCTCGATCGCTAAAACAAAGGCGAAATCGTCCGATGAAGCTGACCCCCGGTTACATAACGCGTCACGGGCTCTCGCGTGGGGCTTCTGCTCTCCAAAAGGAGGCTTAAGAGCTGACACCCCAGGGGAGGCGCTGGGGGCGTTCGGGCGGCCAAAGCCTGCTCCGGCCCGGGCACGTCCCCCTTCCCAGCTCCTGCCCCTGCCTCAGCCCCCGGAGTCGGGGCGTCTCTGGGCCTAGGCCCCTCCCGGGCCTTGAACCCCCAGGAAAGTGGAACCATTTCTCCCGCAGGCCGAGCTCGGCTGGCCGGGTCACAGGCTGGGTTCCTGGTGATTCGGGGGGCTGCTGGGCCTGGGGCGCGGACTTCAGGACCCCTGCCCTCGGGGACCCAGACGCACGCAGGCTGGAACGCCCCGCCCACCCCCGCCCCGTCTCCGCCGGGCCCCAGCCCTACAGGCCTCCGCGCCTCAGGCCGCTGACCCCTGCCACTTGGGGATACCTGGGTGGGCGTCAGCACTTTGCCCAGCTCGTCCACCGCGGCGCCGCCATAGGCGACCTGCAGCGGACGCTGCGGCTTCTCGTCCACTTCCTGCAGGCTCAAGGGCCCGGACCACTTGCTGAGGTCCACCGGCATGGCGGGGCCGAGCGGGGCGTTCAGCGGGAGAGCGGCGGCAGGCCAGATGCACGCGGCGGCGGCGTGCGCGGCGGTCCGCAAACTGCCCCGGGGAGGCGCGGACCTAGCGGCTGCACGAGCACACGCGCCCCCTACGCCCCGCCCCTTACGCCCCGCCCGTCGCTTGCTGCCCTCTGATTGGTCGAGCCCGGCCGCGCGGGGCCCCTGGCGCTCACCCATCCACGCAAGCCGCCGCCGCGCGCCACCGGGTGCGCAGGGTGCGCGGCTCGGCCTGTGCTGCCGTTGCTTTCGGGAAGACGATGGAGCTCGCCCGCCTCGCTTGGCTTTTGGTTTTCTGACCCCTTTGCATGACTGTTGGCAAAAGGGTAAGAAATGCCAAGGCCTTGCTTTTCTCTTTCACGTCTTAAGACGAACCTGATTCCCTTCGGGTCCGCCCCTGTGCTTTCGCGCATGCTCACTTGTTTAGGTGAGTGCCCGGAGACGGCCTGAGCAAACTTCTAGGCGTTTTCTCCGTGGACAAATATATATATAAACTTTTTTTTTAAGTTTCCAAAGTGTATTAGAGAAAGAAGAGAGAACAGACAGGTGACATGCCAGAGCTGGCACGGGTGAAAGAAACTGCCGGACAAATATATTCACTCACACACACATTTATTTCATCCTCCACTCCTCACTAGATGCTCACGAGATTCCCGAAAAATGAATTTTGGGGGGAAATAATTTTTTAAACCATGATGATGATTCCTACCAAAACCGCTGTCCGTGTGGCCACCCACCGCTTTCTTTTTGCTGAATAAAATGAGCGTTATTTAATAGTTCTTATCTGGTTTGAGTCACGGCAGACTTTGGCATTTGATAACTCATCCCATGGAATAAAAGGTGGTCTCGTCTTCAGTTCTTAGTAGGAATTAATACAAGTTCACTGTAGAAGGTTAAAAACAAAAAGAAGTAAGTAAAAATCCCTTTGATTCCACTACTTGGAAACAAACATCTGTCATAATTTGGGGTGTATCTTCCCCATTTAAAAATATTGTGAGTATAATTTTTCTGTGTGTATTCACCAAAAACATCGCATTGCACCCTACCATTATAAAAGATCTGTATGCTAATTAGATCTTCAATATTTAATTTTTCGGAGTCGGAATCTTTCGCCCAAGCTGGAGTGCAGTGGCGCAATCATGGGTCACTGCAGTCTCAACTTCCTGGAGTCAGGTGATCCTCTCACCTCAGCCTCCCAAGTAGCTGGGACTACAGGCATGTGCCCACACCCAGCTTCTTTTTTTTTTTTTTTTATTTGTGAAATGAGGTTCTGGCTGTTACCCAGGCTGGTCTTGAACTCTTGAGCTACAGCAATCCTCCCCTCTCTGCCTCCCAAAGTGCAGGGATTACAGGCGTGAGCCACCATGCCTGGCCCCCTGATCTCCAATTTTTTTTTTTTTTTTTTTGAGTTGGAGTCTCACTCTGTCGCCCAGACTGGAGTGCAGTGGCTGCTCCCGGCCACTGCAGCTTCTACTTGCTGGGCTTCGGCGATCCTTCTGCCTCAGCCTTCCAAGTAGCCAGAATTACAGGCATGCGCTACCACGCCCGGCTGATTTTTTGATTTTATTGTAGAGATGAGGTCTCGCCTGCCCAGGCGGGTCTCGAACCCGCGGGCTCAGGCAATCCACTCACCTCAGCCTCCCAAAGGCGTGGGATTACAGGCTCAGCCACCGAGCCCGGCGATCTCCAATATTTTAATGGCTCATTCTGCTCTAGATGCACCATCATTTATTCAACAAACCTCTTGACATGGGAGATTTATTCTTTCTTCCCCCCTTTACACATATCACGAAAATGAATGTCCTTATGTCCATGTCATTAAATACTTGGTGGATTGTTTTAGGAAAATGTTATTATGTGAGGGCTTTTACTAATCTATTAGGTCATACAATATGTACTTTTTTTCCTTGAGTTGGAGTCACTCTGTCGCCCAGACTGGAGTGCAGTGGCACACTCCCAGCCACCGCAGCCTCAACCTGCTGGGCTCCGGCGATCCTTCCACCTCAGCCTTTCAAGTAACTGGAACTACAGGCGTGCACTACCACGCCTGGCTAATTTTTGATTTATTGTAGAGATGAGGTCTCACCAAGTTGCCAGTCTCAAACCCGCGGGCTCAGGCAATCCACTTGCCTCGGCCTCCCAAAGTCCTGGGACTGCAAGAATATGTACTTTAAAGGGATGAATCACAGCTAGTTAATTGTCCAGACCAGAAGCAATGCCTTCAGCCACGATGCACTCAGAAGATTATTGATTCTTTCTTCCATGAGTGCATTTAGAAAACCTTGTAAACAAAAGGAGAGAGAATCCCTGCTCTCCTGGAGTGTACAGTGTAGCAGTGCAGAGAGACATGACTCAAATGACACTGAGTAAATTAAAAAGTACAGCCTGTGATAGGCACCAGGGAAGACAGGCCCAGACTGTGTGAGTCAGCATTTTCCCCTCATCCCTGCAACCCTCCCCATACTCCTGTTCTGGCTCACCTTTAATCATCTTAAACATCAATTCTTCTGTAGCCCATCAAGATGGCAGAAATGTCCTGTTCTCTGTGTTCATACCTATCCTGTCTGTTCTCTTTCCTAACAGTCAGAACACCTGGAATTATGAATTTAAAATCCTAACCACACCACTACCCACTTGAAGATAAACTCCACAAGGGTCATGTCTCTTGGTCACCAGCCATATCCCCAGCACCTGACGCACTTGGCACTTGATATTATTATGATAAAAAACTAAGTGAATTTTTTAAGAAGTATCTGGTTGGTTTCAAGTTTGGGTCACCAAAGCTTCACTTTCTGATCAAATCTCACATACAGAAGAGACAGGCCATTTCGCCTGTAATTCTAATAGCAGCATGTCCTTCACTAGCAGCACTTGGAAAATCAGAACACCTATTCTCTCATTGTTGGTATTAACCAGCTCTCATTAAAGGTTCACGGTATAATAGATGTCATCCCACAAGCTATGTGTTAAAAAGGTTGACAGTTGTTTGTCTGAAGAGATGCTTATACCTTCCAAGAAAATGAAAGAGCAAGAAAAACCTTCCTTGAAACTAATCTGCAGGACTAAGCACAGAGGCTTATTGGAAGTTTAAGAATGAGAACAACTTTATGGAGTACCAATGAGGTACAAATGGGCAGAGTTATTCTCTAGTCTTCTTGATCAATCAATCGATTGATTGATTTTTGTATTCGAGATAGGATCTCATTATGCTGCCCAAGCTGGAATGCAGCAATACGTAGTATGATCATAACTACTGCAGCCTTGAGCTCCTGGACTCAAGCAATCCTCCTACCTCAGCCTCCCAAGTAGCTGAGACTACAGGTGTGTCACCATGCTTGGCTAATTTTTAAAAATTAAGGTCCTGCTATGTTGCCCAGGCTGGCCTCCAGCTCCCAGCCTCAAGTAATCCTCCTGCCTCAGCCTTTGTTTCATAGATAAGGTTTTGAAGGTTGGTGGAGCGATTGGGAGTGGCCTGGATCTGCCCACTCTTGCTGCATTTCTAAGACTTGGTGAGCCTCAGGCTGTTCTTTCCATCAGGGGGAGTGAGCTGGTGCCTCTCATTCCAAACAAGGGTTGGAACCAACCAAGCCATCTTTACTGAGTGCCTAGTGTGTGCAGATCAGCGTGCTCCAGTGAGGAAAACTACCTTCTGCCCATCATCACCACTGCCAGGCACCAGGTACTGACACTCAGCATCTCGTTTCACCCTTAGACCAACCCTGTGAGGAAGTGCCACTCTCCCCATCTCACAGGCTGTGTCTTCAGAATCAGGAGCAGGACAGGGCATCTCAAGTCAGCCAGAGCAGAGGAGCCAGACGCTTCCTCCAGATGTTTACAAAAGGCCTAGTCTTTATCCTGAAACCAGGAAGTGCCGTAAAAATCCAGGCAAAATCCCAGACCTAGGGGACTTTTGGGAGCCCCTAGCTGATAGCAAATACCCAGAGCCTGCTCATGTATTAAAAGAAGTGGGGAGAACAGGCACGGTGGCTCACGCCTGTAATCCTAGTATTTTGAGAGGCCAAGAAAAGAGAATTGCTTGAGCCCAGGAGTTCAAGACCAGCCTGGACAACATAGTGAGACCTCATCCCTACAAAACTAAAATAAAAAATGAGCCAGATGTGGTGGCACACGCCTGTAGTCCCAGCAACTTAGGAGGCTGAGGTGGAAGGATTGCCTAAGCCCAAGAGGTTGAGGCTGCAGTGAGCTGTGATTGTGCCCCTATACTCCAACCTAGGCAACAGAGTGAAACCCCAACTCAAATGAGTGAATAAATACATAAATAATAAAAGAAGAGGGGATAGCAAGAAAAAAAAAGAAAAATAAATTTTCTATTTATTTATTTGTTTGTTTATTTATTTATTTAGAGTCAGAGTCTCACTCTGTCTCCCAGGCTGGAGTGCAGTGACACACTCATGGTCACCACAGCCTCGACCTGCTGGGCTCAGGTGATCCTTCCACCTCAGCCTTCCAAGTAGCTGGAACTATGAGCATGCGCCACCATGCCCAGCTAATTTTCTTTTTTCTTTTTTCTTTTTTTGGAGTCGAAGTCTCATTCTGTTGCCCAGGTTGGAGTGCAGTGGCACACTCAGGGCCACCATAGCCTGGAACTGGACTCAGGAGATCCTTCCACCTCAGCCTTCCAAGTAGCTGGAACTACAGGTGCGAGCTATCATACCTGGCTAATTTTTTTATTTATTGTACAGACTAGGTCCCACCAAGTTGCCCAGGCTAGTCTTGAACCCCTGAGCTCGGGCAATCCTCTCGCCTCAGCCTCCCAAAGTGTTGGGATTACAGGCTGTAGAGATGAGGTCTCGCCAAGTTGCCCAGGCTGGTCTCAAACTGATGGGCTCAGGCACCTCTAACCTCAGCCTCCCAAAGTGCTGCGGTTATAGGTGTGAGCCACCGCAGCCAGCAAATTTTTTATTTATTGACACACAAATAAATGTCTTGCTTGTCTTTCTGCAGTGTGATTGGTCCGTGTGTTTCTCTCCTTAGACTGGGAGCTTGGGCAGGTGCTGGCTGTGGTAGACTCATATGAACGAGCCTGTAAAACCACGAGTGGTTTTTGTTTGTTGAGCGAGGAGCCGGAAATTCACTGATGTGGTTAGGCAGTGGAATGGCTTCATTCTGGTTTTACTCTTGTACTTCTGCAGGAGAAAGTGTCTAATAAGGACTGGACCAGAATAAAGCTCCGTCCTGTGGCCATAGCTCGGGTTCATAAACTGTTGTCACGGCCATGACAATGACTTGGAATTGTGACTCCAGGGGACCAAGGTGCTGGCTGCTGGCCAAGGGTCTGGACTGAGATACTGGGCCAGAAATTAAC